CCACTATTCGTTGGTAAAAAGAGTAGCCCAAGAGTTGGCGGTGGGTGGTGATGACTAGCTGCCTTTCCTCTAGTCTTATACTGCTAAATTAGGGACGGCTAGCCCAGAAATTAAAAAAAAAGTAACCTTACTATTAAAAACAAGGAATGTAGCAGATTAGAATATATGATGATAAATTAGAATCTCTAATCCAGTTTCTAAGTACACAAGATACATAAATATATATTCATAGCACTAGTGGCTCAAGAGTAAACTGTGGTAATATTTATGATACAAAGATCTACACAAGCGCCTTCTCTCAAAGCTAGTCATTCTATATGTCGTATTTAATGAATTTATATTCCGTTATTATTTATATCATAGACATATTAAGCAAATTTTCAACAATACAAGTTTATTAAGGTTTGCTTCTAGCGCGATGTTACAATTAATTACATTATGGCATCCTATATCAAATTGAAATTATTACCTAATCTAATTATTTTACATTCCATTATCATTTATATCGTAGGTGTATTAGGCACACTTTCAACAATACAAGTTCTAAGTTCTGCTTCTAGTGGGATGTTAGAACATGATGTCCTATAATGAAAACGGAATTATAACCTAATCTAATCATTTTACATAAGGCTGCATTCAACAATACAGGCTTATTAAAGCTATGACTTAAACGACGAAAGCTGCCGAAGCATTAGAAACCACTTAAAATTTGTGATAAAATCATGATAACTGCAGACGGTTGTTTTTTTTAGATTCCTCTTACGTTGTCCATTTTCGATCCAAAATCACCGTCTTAGTCTTACTGAAACACATATATTCAGTAAAAAACAAAACACATAAAAAAGTTGTATAACTCAGGGTTCCAAATACTGAAGTAATTGCTAGGAAAACTAAAGGCTCTAAAGGGTTATTTCTCAGGTTATATCTGATAAACTGTATTGTCATTATACAATAGTTAGTCCAAGAACAGACATTGTAATGTTTTAGGCGTGGCATTTAAAATAATTTAAGCTATTTAAAGAAGAATTATCAGTGTACTTATTTCTAACTAATGATCGTATTAATCATTTTTATTAGGTCCAGCAATACCGATGGATTCTGCAGAAGCAGCTCAGGCCATTTTTCCTTCCATGGCTCGTGCTCTTCAAAAGTATCTCAGGATCACAAGGCAACAACCACGTCATAGCATGCAGGCTATTCTTGAGCACTTAGCCCTGTGTTTAAGTCACGATCTGAGCCCACGTACATTTCTCGAAAAATACATTACAGTATCTCCTGTGCTGCAGAATGACAAAGAACATACATCAATGCAGAAGTGGGCCTTAGTGTGTGACACGCTTCTATCGCGCGCTGTGGAACCTGGATGTATATTTTTGTTGCGTCAGAATGATGTTTCAGTGCTTGTAATAGTTCATCAGTTACCTCACTTCAATATCACAGAAGAAATCATTGACCCTAAAACCAATAAGTTTGCACTCCGTTTAAACTCCGAAACATCAGTTTAGTAATAATTTAAACTATTGCTAAACATTTTATTTGAATAACTTTTGAGCCAAGTAGACGTTAATTTACGGTAACTTTATATTATAAGCAAACATACTTTCAAAACAAACTTGGAAAATGTAACAAAACTAATGATTTTTTTCTTTGTAACTAAGAAATATTTCGAATCATTTCACAGGCTTTCCTTTTCCAACTAATTTGTAAGACAATTTATAAGGTATTATTTCACAGATAATAAGGAGGACTAAATTTTGATGTTCTAGCTATTTTTTAGGATAATGTTTTTCAGAATGCATTTATTTAGCTCTTATACTATTTTTAAGTGAACTGAGGAGTGAAAACAGGTGGCTTCGGTCTGTTAAGGTTATGGACACAAAACTATAAAGATATATTATTGTTCATTTGAGGCGTAAAGAAATAAGTTTTGAAATTACCTGTCGTAGTTTTAAGCATTTTGGGAGATTTAAGTGTCCGTTACATAGGTAAATGTCAAGTACTGTGGAATTGGCGTCGTTAAACAAATTCTTAATTTTATAATCGTTTCAAAGGGCATCCCTTGTCTTTAAATGCTTATCAAGGTTAAAATCATCATAAACTTGAGGTTAGTATCCCTGTGAAAATATTTTAAGTCATTTCATTTTTGATTCAATTACAGGTAAGTGATCGATTACAATCGCTTTAATAAGCTACTAATATTATACATATTATTTCAAGTTTCAAGGTTAGTAGAAATACATTTAAACTAGGAATATATCTTCGGTGACGAGGAACCCACTTTGAGACTAATAATGGCTGGAGACGGCTTGAATGGGTGATGATGACAAAACCTTGTTGAAACGTTGTACATTTGCTGTTGTATTAAAGTTTTTCTTCATTACCCATTCAAGCCGTCTCCAGCCATTATTAGGAATACATCTATTAGCTGCTAAGAGGAAAAATCTATTTGGCCAGGTTTTGTTAAAATTGTTCAAATACTCACATAAAATATTTTCTCAGTTGTAAATACATTATTATATTTTAACATATAAATTAAAACTAGTTGATTAACTTGCAAGAAATGTGCATATGTATTTCACTTATTCAGTGAGGGATTAAAAAGTAAGATTATATGTTTCTACTTTTCTGAGAAAATTTTATGATTTTTGATTATTTGAAGTCCCGAGGAAAAGCATTACTAGCAATGAACTTTATAATTTTGTAAGGTAATTCCAAATAATCTTGTATATATATTGCTTCCATGCATTTGGAGATTACAAACTCTGAGAGTATAATAGAAAAAAAAAATATTTTTAAAGTTCAAACGGTTCTTCGTTGATTTGCTTTAAATGATATCTTTTTGTAATTAAATTACTGATTAATTACTGATTAGCAGCTACCTTTTATGTAGAGTTTTACTCAACCAAGTCTAATAATCCTTGTACTTCCTTTTTAAATATTTATTACACTCGTAAAAGTTTGTTATTGTTCATTACACTAATACTTTAAACTTTATATCGAGATTTTAGTATCACATATTTCAAATGAAAAACTACTTTTAACGTCTACAATGCTGGACTTTTTCTTTAAAAAATAGGCTACCTGAAGTAAAAGTGTCAAAAGAATATCGTATTTTTATTTACATTTTCACGCAGCCAGTTACTCTGAACTTTTATACCAAGAACATGTTATTGTCATTGTAAATATACATACTTACATTTTAGTTAATATTATCATGAGTATACACTGATGTATATATCTAAATTGTGTTTTTATGTATGAATATAATGTGTACGTTTTAAAACAATGAAGTAATTCATATTGTAAATTTTTGTTTTCCTTGTTGAATGTGGAAAGACAATAAAATATGTTATATATGTCATATTATGTTTCTGAGAAAGTGACTTCGAATATTATATCATATTTTGATTTACTTTTTTATTTTACTTATAGCCCAACTTGATAAATGATAATTTTCTATGAGATTTTATGACCAACCGGGAACCAATATGTAGAGAAAGGATGTTATATATATATATATATTTAATTTCAGTAAGTACGTTTTATATTTATAATTTTGGTAAATAAGAATAGAGTGAAATCCTAATTTGTGAAATTAGAACGTCTACAGAATAGGTCTTTGGAACAAGTGTAAGGTTGTACCTCAATTTTACAAAAATTAAATAAATAAATTGCTAGCTCATTAAGAAAGTACCAACACAAAAAATCATTAGATCTCTGTATGGAGTAATTTTTGAAAATGTGTTTATACCAATACATAATATTGTATCATGCTTTCAATAACTATAGGAAATAGCAATGCTGCTGAATTCATATACAAACATAAAATTCTCAACTATTTGACATTATTTATTGTTTGTATTTGTTTTTTAATTTCGCGCAAAGCTAACCGTCCCTAATTTAGCAGTGTAAGACTAGAGGGAAGGCAGCTAGTCATCACCACCCACCGCCAACTCTTGGGCTACTCTTTTACCAACGAATAGTGGTATTGACCGTCACATTATAACGCCCCACGGCTGAAAGGGCGAGCATGTTTGGTGTGACGGGGATTCGAACCCGCGACCCTCAGATTGCGAGTCGAGTGCCTTAACCACCTGGCCATGCCGGGCCCATTATTTATTGGAATACGTCCATGAAATTCGCCGGATGAACTAATTAACATTAGGAGATATATTTTTGAAATGATCCCTCTTAATCTTAAGAGCTTTTATTGGAGGGTTACTGTAAAACTAGGTTCGTTGAACAAGCTTTTAATTGTTTAATTACTTCAGTAGGCTTGTGTCCGTGTTTTAAATGATAGTCGAAATTCCTAAAAATTTAAAATTACTTGATGTAATCTATTAACACCTCTTTTCTTATAAATAATGCCTTAAATGAACAATACTTTTCCTAGTCTTGAGCACACGACTTTTAAAGTTAACACGTTTTTTTATGGTTGAACATAGTATCGTAAAATGCACTTGCCAAAAGTGCTTATTTTCACAGTGGAAAATACGATCTGATCTGGTAAAGTCGTTAATAAAAATAGCGAAGATGCTTCTGAAGTTAGATGGAATGTAGGTGAGTCACAACTATTCGTTCCTTTGAAATAGCAAATAAATCAATAAAACAGTCAGAAGTTTTATAACAGTTGATAAAGGAATAAAAGCGTTTAGATACTGAGAATAACGTTTTTATCACGTAATACATATTTTCTCAAAATTCATCTCAGTTAATAGATGTATCAATCAATAAGGATGATAAAATATATTAAATAGACTTTAATTACATACAAAAAACAAACAAATAATAACCCTACGTATCTGTTTCATTAGTGAATGAGTACTGTAATAATATTTTCAAATTATTCAGTGCAAAAAAGTAATATAGAAATTAAGTAAAAAAAATATAAATAATATACATTATGGAGCTAAACTTTTGTTTACTGGCTGACTTTTCTTAAATTTTCTTTCAGATTTTAAGAACTGGCTCCCTTTGTTTGGTTTGAATTTCGCGCAAAGCTACACGAGGACTATGTGCGCTAGCCGTCCCTAATTTAGCAGTGAAAGACTAGAGGGAAGGCAACTAGTCAACATCATCCACCGTCAACTCTTGGGCTACTCTTTTACCAACGAATAGTTGGTCATAAGCCATCTTTCTAGTCTGGCTGTTGAGCAAGATCACTTTGGCAAGTTCACCTTAAATATGCTAATGAATTTAAACATATCTTGTCCTGTAGTACGATATGTCATTTACACAGAAGCTGTGCTACTGTTCTGTGGACATCTATTATACGTAATTAATTAAATATTTTATGTGTTAAATAAAGTTTTATCTAAAAATATTTTCTTAAAATTTATCTCGGTCAGTAAATATATCTGCTACTAATGCTAAGGATATATTTAAAATGAAGTTTGCTGCACTGTTTTACGGAGTTGTTTATCAAATCAAGTAAAACAACTTTACCAGGATTTAGAAAATTAGTTAAACCAGTTTCAAATGTAAAATAGTTTAATTAACATGAAGATACATATCCTAAGTACAAAAAAATGACATGAAAACTAACGTTTATGCCTTGAAACAATGTGACAGACGTTTGGAACTGCTTAAAAAAAAGAGCTAAAAGAACAATTTTGTTTAATGGTTTAAATGCAAAAACCATCAACAATTCTTTAGAAAACTATCATACGATGTTTCAAGAATATTGCCAAAAATTCCTACAATAATCTAATACGGATGTTTATGTTGTTTCTTATTCCAAACACTTTTCAATCGATCGTCATTCCTTCATTTCTCAGCGGAATGACTTGAAACTTGGTAGGGTTATACCTTTGTCCAATACGCCCAGACAGCATTTTATTTTTTTATTTCGGTCTTTTAAAGAATTTCATAGCATAAAAGGTAAAACAACCCAAAAATGTAAATTTTGGGCACCTGTGTGGTCACATTTACAGCAATGAAGATGAAAATTGGCATAAAGATAACTTTTTATGCGTTCAACAGATTGACATAAAAAGTTAGATTTTCCCATTTTTCTCACACAAAAAGCATAATTTGGGTTTTTTTTTGGTCAATTACTCCGCTCTATTTTGACCAACTTACATGAGATTTGGTACAAAGATACTTTTTTACAGGCCAAAAACAAAAATATAGACAATTTTGGAATTTTTGTCTTTTGCTCAATTTTTAAGCGAGGAGAGCACAATTTGAGGTTTTTGTGGATTATTTATGTGTATGTCAACCAACTTACATGAAATTTGTTTCAAAGATGAATCCTGCTTTGCGAACTACTAAGCGCCGAAACGGAAAAATCATATACAAAGCTTCATATGTCATGACTATTACATTTGGACAGTTAAGTTATTACTATTTAAGAAATTTAGTTCTTAAAATCTGAAAGATAATTTAGGAAATGTAAGTCAGCAAGAACAAGTTTAGCCCACTGTGAGCTTCAGGACATGTAAATCCAAAAATCGATGTTCACAGCGTAAATAGCCCATTGTGTAGGATTGTGATAAACAACGAAACACACAAATAAACAAAAATCCAAGTGACTATTAGCTATTATTTACATAACCAAAATGGTGGTTACCATACAGTAGTAATCTCCATGGAAAGTTAATAAATTAAAGAGGCCAACTCTTACGGGTTAACGTAACATGTTTCCGCCGCGCAATCCGAACATAGCTAATTTTGACACCAGACAAATCGTGAAAAACACAGAAAAATCAAAAACTATTTATATCGCTGCAAGAAGGTACCTTGTCAGGTGTTTTAGGGATAAGGGTAAAAAAACACCGCTAACAGCGAGGATAACCAACTGGTGACTTAACACAGAATAGTTATGTATAAAACTGTATTTTTTGCTAATCGTAATGCAAATTTTAATTTATTTATGTTCAACATATTACCTATAGTAGTTTGAGAATATATATATATTTATAGTTTTAAAAGTACATTTTTATTGGCTCTTTCGAAATTCATGTCTTCTCCATTCAATATTGTGTATTATACTGTTTTTAATGAAAGACTAAATCCAATGAAAAAATTATATTTGAAGTTATCAACATTACACAAACATATCTCATAAAATACTGACATTATTTAATATATATTTTTAACTTCAATATCTTTAGCTAGAAAAGAATAATATTTTTATCTTCTGCTGTTTCAACTGAGCGTTTTAGGATGAAGAAAAACAATAAGAGAAGTAAGGGGTAGATATAATATATAAAAATTACTAAAATCTTACAAAGGCTAAAGCCTAACTGCACTGAAACCGAAATTTATAATTA